TGGCTGGTTCAATTGTCAGAATGTAATAAATTGTTCTCCAAACCCATATGTACGTAGCAAACTCTTGCCCTAACAATTTTTCTTTTAATCACAAATGATAGATACAAAGTGGCTTGCCATCTGTACATTTGCATGTTTAAAATTCTTCAGATATTAGCAGATTCTTTTCTGTTTTGAATGAATCCAGTTTTGCCTGGCTGACTAATTGAATGTTTCCTGGCTCCTGCTGGCTGTGATTTCCAGTGGAGTATAAACTACAAGGTCTAAGCAGACTCAGCACAAGGCATTTGAGTCTGACTTTATTTGTAAGAAATCGAATCAATCAGAGATTTGCCATGTTAATTGGGAAAAATTTTTTTTCTTGAGCAATAGTAATAAAGTATTATGAAGTATTTGAAAAGGTTGATAAGAAGGTATACTCAAAAACTACCAAGCACAGCTGATTTAATTGTTCTGAAATGTTTAGACTTTCAATATGGAATTTCTTTCCCTCACTCCTTATAAGACCAGGATTTCCTTCAAATTATATACATAAGATGGCACGATTTATGGCCCTTCTCACAGGAAGTGGTCGCAGTGAGGGGCAGTACTCACAGGGGTTCAGAACCAAGTCTCTGGAGGCAGGCTACCCGAGGGAAATCTAGGTCTCATTTTCCTGCCTGTGTCACCTTGGGCAAGTTACTTAACTTCTCTGTGTCTCATGTTTGCCTACCTGTAGAATAGAGTTGATAACAGAGCACCTCCCCTTGGGATTATGTGAGAATTACGTGAGTTACTATATGTAAAGTGTTTTTAAGTGTTCCTGGGATATAAGAAGTGCTGCGTGTCACTGATGTTAGTAATTGCTGAGGTCTCTGGGTGGGCTTGTTTGGGAGGAGATTCATGACTTCCCGACAGCCCTGCCTTTAATCAGTCGAGATGGATGCTTAGCAGTTACCAAGTGCCTACTGTGGACCAAGCACCATTTCATGCCATTCCTGCAGTCATCTGGAGAGGCATGTTTCAGCAGCCTGCTTTTCTTTGAGGATAGGGGCACAGGATGGTTCAGCATCCCATGCAGTGGCACACGGCAAGGAGGACCCAGAGCAGAGCTGGGATTCACACCCGGCTCCAACTGACCCTGCAGTCTTGAGTGCTCCCACATCACCACGAAGACTATGACAAGCATTAGAAGGTAGGATGCTAGTTAAGCACCTGTGGTCTCTTCCTAACCAGCTCTGTCACCATGACCCAATGACCCTTTGATAAATGCTATGGAATTCCAAATATCCAGTAATGAATAGAGATCAGCTGAAATCCAGGTGCAAATGCAGAATAAGTGATAATTTAACTCTGTGTAATCTTGCAACCTCCACATCTTTCTGAAAAAGCACCTCCTGGAATCTTATAGGACAAGAGAGGATCCTGGAAATAAATACGTACCCCTCTCATACTTCAGGTGAAAGAGCAGGGGCGTAGAGAGCGATAGTGACACCTGAGGGCATAGGCAAAGTGACCAAGCTGGGTTTGAGACCTGGGCCTAGGCCTGCGGGTGACGGCCTCTCTCCATCACCTCACGACACTTTATCCTGGATGCCCAGGATAAAGCAAGCTCTTAAAAGGGAAAGCTGGTAGAATAAGAAGGTCATTAAGAACAGGTTTTAGAAGTGCCTTGAAAACCACCATCTCTTGTATCAAGAGTCGCCATGGAGAGGCTTCATGACCTTGTGGAGAGGAATAAATGGTTGTATTTGGAATTCTTCTTTGGAGTTGTAATATGTGCTTAGGATGTGTAGCATGGCCTGGTAATGATATCTATCATGGTCTAATAATACTTTTAGGAGGATTTTTTAGAGAATTCCAATAGTTTCTCTTGACCAGTAATTTAATCCTTATGAATTAAAATAATAACCATCAATGTTTGTAGCTGTATTAGTTTGTTAGGGCTGTCATAACAAAACACCACAGATTGGGTGGCTGACACAAGAGAAATTTATTTTTTTCACATTTCTGGAGGTTAGAAGTCCAAGATGAAGGCATCAGTCAGGTTGATTTCTTCTGAGGCTTCTCTGCTTGGATTGCTCCTGGGATGGCTTCTTTCTCTCGGTGTCTTCATAGGATCTTCCTTCTGCATGTGTCTTTAACCTCCTTATCTTATAAGAACACCAGTCATATGGGATTAGAGCCCACCTCGTTTTACCTCCATTACCTCTGTAAAGACCCTGTCTTCAATAAAGTCACATTCTGAGGTACTGGGGGTTTGGACTTTAAAATATGAATTTGGGGGGGGGGACCCAATTCAGCCCATAGCAGCAGCTACATCATATCTACATCTGTAGTACATCTAACGTCTACATTTTTTATCATCATTTGTGGGGCTTATTTGAACCTGACATAATAATAGTGATAACTCCTCCAAATCCTATGGTGTGACGATGGAAGGTCACACAAGTCCTCCAAAATTACATATTTGAAATCTAATTTCCCCCAGCTTAATAAGCATGTGGCCCATTAGCACCAATTTAGGAGGAAGGAGCATTCTCATAGCCAACCGATATCTAATTTCTGGGCCCCTGCGACCTTCTGCTCCCTGAATGCGGTGAAGGTGAGCTCACTGGGGTGGGTAAGTCCCCAAGCCTCCGGCTTGCTGGCAGGATCCGTGTGGCATCAGGTCTGGGAAGGCGCCCTGCGGGCAGCCAGAAAGAGAGGCTTGTGCTGTGAGTGTTCCTCTGGCCTCAGCTCTTTGATTGTCTTTGAGGCAGGTACTAAAGGTGGACACTTGTCTACACACAAGAGGTGCAGACGTGGGGGCAGTTATTCACGCTTTGGAAGTGAGCAGGCTGTGGGAAACTGGAACCTGCGGGATTTTCTTTCTCTTTATTATTTTTTTTGAAAGGACTCAAGTTTATCCAAGATTTTGGCATCTTCCCATAGCCCCTCCTTCCTCCTTTCCTCCCTAAGCTTCCTTACTGTCTTCTCTCAATTATTTATAGGGTGAGGAGGGCTTGCTCTGCATAGTGCTTTGCTTGGTCCTGTGGGGGAGACAGGCGACTCAGAAGTGCTCTGCCTTGTATGTTTTATTCTGATGACCGAGTGCTGGTTCTGGTTTTGGTTATGCTTTTGGGCGTTGCTTTGCTAGTTCTTGGCAAACCTGGAAGCCACTCAGCTAACAGTGTCTTCAGCACTCTCTCCTCTCCCTGTAGAGCAGGCCTCCGCCCTTAGCTGCCTTCCCCCACCTCCCGCCCCTCAGCCGGTGCCCAGGCTGCTGGCTCCTGACCCCTCCCGCCCGATTTTGATCGCTGTGCTCCTTCTTGCCTCCCAGGCTGTTTATCTTCCCTGTCTTCTGAGCTATTCCTTCCGATTCCTCCCACTTCTTCCTCTTCTCATTTGACTCGTTTCCTGATTCACATTGATCATCCCCAATGAGCTAGCTTAGTGTGAAAAAAAATGAAAGTTCTAATGATCTGCTTCCTCTCTGCCCACTGGTTATCTCTGGAAACAGAGATTGGCTTCAGGAACTACTTCCTTGGAGCTGAGGGTAGAAAGAAGTCATCCTAGGTTCATTCGTCCATTTCCACCACCCTCACCCCCTCTTCGAGTTACTTCCCAACCACTGAACATCAGGCAGTATATGTGGGGAGGGCATGGAGGGTAGAGGATGAGGTTCCACAATGTAATTTAAACCTTATCTGTAGGTTATAAAGTGTTACGATTCATGTCTGGAATGGAATTCAAAATGGTCACATGTTCTACTTGAAAATTTAATTCCTACAACTTAACTTGGGAAGAAGTGGCCAGAACTGTTATTTTTTTTCTTCCTATCACACTGACACAGCCGGAGTGTGTGTTCTCCTCACCCCAGCCAGCCTCTGGGAAGATACACATTTCCCTCTCTGGCTAATCAAATTCATGTCCCAGGCAAAGCCCCACAGTCTATGAGAGCTCCCTGAGTGTCCATGAGCTGCTTGAGGTCCAGCCTCTGTCTAAACCATCTTTGTTTCCCAGCAACAAGCAGTCAGATACCTCATAGGGACTCAGCAGACATATAGGGAATGAATCAAAGTGAAGAACTTTCTCCAGCCTCCTGTAATCACTCCCTTGCTTAACTTCAGTGTATCTGGTGTCTGTACCACTCATTCAAACACTGATGTGCTGCTGACATTGTTAATTAGCTACTTTAAGACAATGTTTTAGCCTTCCCATCCAGGTTCCCAGTTCCTTGAGAAGGACAATGCTTCATTTTTCCTCCATATTTCTCTCTCATGCCTAGTACAGAGATGGCGCTCACAAATATTGTTGATACTGTTCCTTTTTGCTTGACAGCAGTTTCTGTTGAGAACTACACATTTAGAGAACTGATTTTGCAGACGCCACACTTTTATTGTAAATCTATCTATTTAAAAAACCAAAAAGGTCTGGCTTCCTTGCATTTCAAGCAGAGAGAGAAATCGTTATCAGCCAATTTGCTTAGTTTGGTTCAACCACATTTATTGAGGAGTTACTTTGCACCTGACACTGAGCTACGCAATGTTCCTGCCTCACAGGAACATTCAACATTCAGAGATGGCAGGCAGAGGTGCTTGCTGCTCTCACCCATCAACCTGAGGATAATGCTTGTCCTCACCAGCTGGCCATCAATGACCAGTGGGCAGTGTACATAGTTCCAGCCACCTGGCTTGGACCTTCCTGGGTGGTGACTTGGACCTACTGCTTACCTAGTGCACCCTCTTTCTGGGTGGTACCCAATTGCTGCCTCCTTTCCCATCCTTCACCCTTCTTTGGGAAACAGAAAAGATGTTGCACCAAGTTAGGTGACTTGACTCTAAAAAGTCTGCGCTATGTCTTTTCAGTAAACTTCAAACTCATCAGCTTAAGAAATAATGTGCAAAGGGGAAATAAACCCTGGTAAGACTAATGGCAGGGATTTCAAGCTGGGTTTTAGCAAAGCAGTCACAGAGTATTCACGTGTTAATTCACTGGCATGTTCCGTGACAGAAGCACCCCCCCCCATCCTGCCTTCCCCCAGTTCCAACTGTTGTGCTGCGCAGGATTTGGTCTGAGTCTGGGCAGAGCCCCTCTTTGTGAGCAGCCCTCCAGCTTCTGCTACAGGAAGAGTCTGATGAGAGCTGTTCTCGCCTTCCCGTCCTCGCACACAAAGGCAAGAAGCTCTTTAAAGGGACCTTCCTGCTCCTCCGTGCAGCTGCAAACCCGTCTCGCTGCAGACTCAGCCCTCCAGGCTTTCGCCTCAAAATGAGTGGGGAGGGGTCTTGAGGAGCCCCCACGACCTCCCGGAGTGGGGCGGGGAGGGAGCCGACCGCTGGAGTGGATGGCGACCGCAGGTCTCCGGGGAGCGGCTTGCAGTTAGCTGCTGCTTGGGATGCTCCGCGCGCCAGCAGAGCATCCTGCCTGTGGTCCAGAGGGTGCTGGCGGCGCATCTTGCGGTATGCCTGCGTGGATTTGAGCCATCGCCCAGAGGCGAGCCCGCATTCAGACAAGGCGGACGGGCTCCTGGCTGGGCTGCGTGCAGTCAGCACGAATGCTCAGCTCCAGGCGTCTGCTCAAGCCTCCCGACTGCATGGATTTGACTGTTTAATCAACCGAGATTACTGCCGGGGAAGATTTGCGAGCCTGATCTGCGCTCCAGCTGCTGTGACAACTTCAGGGCTGGCTGTTTACTTCTCCCGGTGCCTGGGACTTTGTCCTGCACCGCAGCCGCTCCTGCCACTTTCCCGGTTCTGAAGTCGGCGGCCAGGACTCCTCTGCCGGCATCCCCAGGGAAGGAGAGCAAGGAGGGGTTAAAAGACGAGCAGAAACCCCCCAGCTGCTCGACCTCTCGTGACTGCCTGTGTTCTGGGGTTCCGTGTGCTGCCCGGGGAAGCAATGCAAGTCTCCATAGCCTGCACAGAGCACAATTTGAAGAGTCGGAACGGCGAGGACCGACTTCTGAGCAAGCAGAGCTCCGCCGCCCCCAATGTGGTGAGCGCGGCCCGGGCCAAATTCCGCACGGTTGCTATCATCGCGCGCAGCCTGGGGACCTTCACCCCTCAGCACCACATCTCTCTCAAAGAGTCCACCGCAAAGCAGACTGGCATGAAATATAGGTATGGATGTCAGATTCCCTCTGCCCGGGGCTTCCCAGTTCCGAAGGTGCAGCGGTTTTCAGAAGTGACTTACTCATTGGTGGGCTGCTTAATTTAGAATTCTCAGGCGTCTCTCAAATAGCTTCTTAGGAAAGTGGAAAACCCAAGGTGGCTGTGTTGTGTTGTGTATAGGATTTAAAAACTGTGGCCCATTTTGTATATTCTGAAGTGTTATGAACACCTTAGGAGCTGTAGGAATTCCGTCCGCAGAGAATAACACAGCTGCTGGAAACTGGTATTGAAATCAGGACCGCTTTTCAGGAGAAATATGCTTGTCCCATTTTATTATAGACTGTAGTTTCTGTGGTTATACTATTAAAAACAGTTTCCCATCAAGTACCATATTCTTATTTATCTTTTGAAAGGCCAAGGTGACAAATGCTAAGTAAGCTTTTAAGGAAGTTTTGTTGCAGGGAAGAACTCCTGTCCTGGTAAGTTAGTCTGAACCCTGACATATTTAAATCTAAATTACGGCTTGAAATAAAATGCAATCCTTGTTGTGAAATACGGAGGAAAAGTCAATTGTTGTAATATTGCTGATTTCTTTAGAAATGTTTAAGCTCCCTCTTCCTCTGTGTTGCTTTCCAGAGTGGGAAACCTTCCTGGTAATAGTCGATGCTGTCTTTAATAGGGAACGACTTAAATTTGGCAAGTAGAAATTTCATTATTCAATTATGTGACTTCCTGCCTCCTCATTGTATCTGCTTCATGCTGAGTCTTCCTGACTTGATTTCTCTAAAGCTACCATGCTTCTAGTCTCTGAAGATGTTTGCATATGCAGAGAGGAGCTAACAATGCATCTTCCAAAGGCTTTGGTGACTCTAGTTTGCAGATCTGACTTTGTCTATTATTTACATTTAACTACCCTTCATCTCTGTCAGGAACAATGTTTTAGGATAGAAAGAACTTAATGCATTGAAAATCATGCACACCTAAGACTATGTTTCCCGTGAGAAGTTTCTGAAATAAGCATTCAAACCAATTTTCTCTGAAAGTTGTCCTTGCAAAACTTTCTTGGCAGAATTAACAGGAAAATGTCTCATTGGAAAACACCAAGCACTGTTGTTTTGCTGTATTTTTGAGCCAATAAGAAAGGAAGCCGTGAATGGGGCTCGGGGGAGGACCTACTAAAAATCAGAGCTAAAGCTCTTTGCCCTAACTGCAGTACAATGCAAGCAGCTGGACCCTAGGCAACTCCCTGAAGTGTCACCAGTGCGAGGACCCTTTGCTCTTCCCAATATTTCCATGGTGGAGAGTGGGGCCCCACGGCAGGTCAGTAACTAGGACCACAGTCTGGAGTGCATTGGCTTTTTCTATCACTACTTTGTGGCGCACACCCAGCCCCTGCCCCGTCGGCCTGGCGCTGCTCTGCATGCGGTTCCGCTGCCGAGATGGAGGCTGCCTTCCTGGACAGGGCCCCTGGGAACGGGACATTCAGGGTTAAGGCATATCACAGAGGTGATTTGAACTGTGGCCTCCAGCAGCACCTTAAACTTTCTTCTTGTAAACCAGAAGAAATAAAAAGTAACACCCTTCATCTCTTGTGCCAGAGTTTCCTAGTTGTTCATGGATCATTGTATGAGAAGAGTTTGGTCTTGTGAAGCCAAGAGATTTCCATTAAGGTTTTTCTGCTAATATTGACAGCTCGGCTCAGATTGGATGATAATTGTCTCTCTTTATCAAAAGGTCAGTGTGTAAGATTCACTCGGGCGCCTTTCATTCCTGGCAACTAAGGACAGCTCTTTTGTGTCAAAAAGCTAGCCATCTTTGGTCTTCAGTATATTTGGAGTTATTTGTTGTTGATAGTGACTGGACAAGTTACCTTGTTTCCACGCCCCCTCTTATTCTGAATCATTCCATCTATGACAGGCAGGTGGCTTTGTGTATATATGTGACTCAACCCCTCTCTCTTTCAAATTCTACTCAGAGTGACCTTTAGGAAAGAGATGATGAGATTATGCCAAATGTACCCTAAGACTTACCTAGGGATGGAGAAAGAAAGACAGACAGAAGTGGGAGGGAGAGAGACTAATATACTTTATAAAAAAATGACAGAAATATTTTTATTAGCTGAGTTATTTTTTTCTTTGTCATTGATGTCACTAAAACAAAATGTGCATGTAAGGACTATTTATTAATGATAAGTAGCAAAAAATAAAAAATACTGCCATCAAGTTGGGGAGGTAATTGGCTTGGGTAAACAATAAGGAGAATGCTTGAAGGAACTGGAATGGAAAATTGGTGGCTAATTGTGTTTATAATAATACTCTCATTCTTGAAAATGATTTCCATAGGCATTGCTTAATCTGGGAACCATGAGCCCTTCAGAAATTCAAAAATATTGTCTTTTTGTGTGTATTTCTAAGGAGAGGGTTCATAGCTTTGATCAGAGTATAAAAGTGTTGACCACTCAAAAATTGTCAAAAAGCAGTGTTATAGAGTGCAAAGGTATTCATTTAGTCAAATATTGACTGAGTGTCTATTCTGTATCAGGAACCTATTAGAACTGGGTACGCAAAGGTGCAGAAACCAGACGAGGTTTGGGCCTTGCATTCTTGGGAAAACAGACCGTGAATAAGAAAACAATCAAATACACAATAATTATCTATTGTGAGACATTTCTATGAAGCCCGTATTTTTTGGGGGGGGGGTCCTAGTCATGCCCTTGCCAACCTATTTATCCATTTTGAGGTTACCATCTCTACCAACCCTCAGTTCCAGGGTTATGATTGCATCTTGTGGCATGAGCCAGTGTTCCCATCTCTGCCACCTATCCACCTATTTGCCATCCCAGGGACTTCTTTCAGGTTCTAACCTTGCTGTAGGGTGCAACCTGGCCATTGAGGACCTACTTATAACCCTGACAAACGAGTAGGATGCTTTCTACTCAACTAAAACCTTATGATTTTTAAAGCCCAACTCATATCATAGCCTATAATTACCACCCATTAATCAGGAACCCATGAACTTGGGGTTTTAGAAAGTATTAATAGACACTTGTATGAAGCATCTGAATTCTGCAAGAATAAAATACTCAGAGCCCCTATTACCTTCCCAGCAGCATTGTGAAAGATTCTTGGATAAAATTAACTATTGTTTCAAGGCTGAGGATGAGAAAAAATCCATTAGAACAATATTCCATTCAGATGTCACTGTCAGCACAAGAGAACAAGATTCCACCTAACATTTATTTTGAGGACTGTCTTGTATGTTAATAATACAAGACTGTTGTGTTTCTTATATTTTTAATCCTTGTGCCTTGTTAACACATGAGAGGTCCTTCATTTCAGTTGTGCACATGTTTTTAGAGTTCATCACACTGTATTAGAGTTTGATATACACTTGTAGCAATACACGATAGCTGTATGTGAACCTTCATCCTAGGAAAGCTAAATCAATCAGAACAGAAGTTAAGCCAGATTTGTTTGGTTGTTTTTGCTTGTTTGGTTGGGTGTTTTTTTCTTTTATTTTCTTTTCTTTTTTATAACTTTTTAGAATGATCCAGCTACTAGTGTTAGGCATGATCTTAGAGATATTGTCATTCAGAACGGAGCACGTTTGTGCTGATAAGCTACCCATCATTCTAAAATTGTTACTTTAGTTCTAGAACAAGTTGAATATCAATAAACCCAATTTCATCAAGAAAAATTTTATCTGTAACATAAATATTTATAACAATATAACCTTGTGTTGTATAGTTACATAAAACATGCTTTGAAATTCTTAAGAGAGTTCTTTACAAGAAGGAATATCTGAGCAGTAATCTTTAAATTCCACTTTAAAAAATTCCTGTTTTTCCAGTTTTTGGAGTTAATCCACTTCACCATTTTTGTCATCATTCAAATTTTTTATTGAAATAATTGTAGATCACAGGAGTTCACACACACACACACACATACACACACATGAAAAGTACAGGGAATTTCTGTGTACCCTTAATCATGTTTTCTCCAGTGGTAACATCTTGCATAACTATAGCACAACATCAAAACTAGCAATGACATTGGTACAATCCACAGAATTTATTCAGATTTTACCAGTTATGCATGTATTCATGTGTGTGCATGTTCCTGTGTCTGTGCAACTTTACCACATGTAGAAGTTTGTGTAACCGCCATGACAATGAAGGATTAGACTTGCTTCAACACCACAAGGCTCCTCGTACTACCTCTTTACAGCCATATCCACATACTCTTCCCTAATTCTTGGCCACCTCTAATCTGTGATCCATCTCTATAGTTTTGTTGTTTCAGAGCATTATATAAATGGGATCATTCAGTTTATAATATTTTGGGATTAGCTTTTTTCCATTCAGCATAACTCTCTTGAGACTCAGCCAAATTGTTGTGTGTATCAATAGTTCATTCCTTCTTCTTGCTGAGTTCATCATATAGATGTCTCGCAGTATTTTCAACCATTCATTCACTGAAGGACAGTCAGGTTGTTGTCATCATTAGATAACTTCAAATGACAACGTCATTCTCAGATTCCTTCAGTGCCATTCAGTAGCTCAGGGGATAAAATCCAAACTACCTAACATGGCACCTGAGGTCCTTCATGGTCTGGCTTCCATCGTGCTTTCCCGTCACCACTCTTTGTCCTCACCTTATCTCTGACCATGTGCTTTATCAGAAATACCTACTTGAGAGAGGACTCTGGACCTTCTTGGGTTCTTATGCCTCTGTATCATTTTCCATGCTGGTCCTTCTACCCTGGAATTCTCCTACCTCACTTGATTAGCCAGGCAAACTCCTGTGCATCCTCCAAGACCCAACTCTAGCATCACCTTCCCTGTGAAACCTTCCCTGGCTCTACCCCATATAGTGTACTTGTTCTTTAGCATCCCCACTGCATCTGGTTCTTACCTCTGTTATGAAAATTATTGATTGCATAGCATTGCTATTATCTATTTGCATCTGTATCTTCCCCATTAATCTGTGAGCAGCTTGAGGTTTAAATTT